TCTGCACCCACCCATCTCACTCACATTGAGGAAGCAGCCAGCAGCAGCTTCCCTCCTCCCCCAAAAAATTGAGGATCATTGTGCTTGTTGATTGTTTTTGTTTTAATTTGCCATGATTGGATGCTTGCGCATGCAGCTGTGCTTTAGCAAATCAGAATGCTGGCTTGCACAACCATCCATGGGGTGACAAAAGAGGAGAGTAACTAAGTGCTTACGGAAATGGTAGTGGAGTAAAATGTACAATATTTTCTAAAAATACCTACTTGAGTAAAAGTCGAAGTATCACAAAAATAAATTACTTGAGTAAAGTACAAATACCGAAAAATGTACTTGAGTAGTGTAACGAAGTATTTCTGAGGGTGGCAGAGTAATGTCTCTCAAGCTTGAGTACAGTCAGTGAAATTCATTTTTCAATTTTTGGACAAATTGCTGAATGTGAAGGCAGACTTGGAACTGAGCAGAGAAATTGCCTCCTGATGTTTGTTTGTTTTACTTTCAGAGAATCAGGACTATTTACATCCTTTGCTTATAGAAAACCTGACTCTATCCCTAATTTCTGTTCTTAACACAGCCAGCACAGTGGAAGCCCATGTATAATGGCTAACCACTCTGCCCAAAATAAGGTACATCAAAGATGGTCAAAAGAAATATAAACAAGACCTGAAACAGGATTTGAGATTTCACAAAGGAAATTAACATTGGGGGGGTTTCCTATAACGGTATGAGACATGGTTTGTCATCTGAGATAAAATATTTGTTGGGGGCAGCAACTACAATGTCTCTAGGTGATTGAGAAGATTGAAAAATCCACACTCCCAGTGTGGAATGGACGGATAAAGTAAGTGACTAGAAGTCTGCTCCTCATGGATAGGTTTCCCAGGAATTCAGGGAGATCATGAAAACTTTCCCCAATAAGGATCCCCAGTATGGATCTTCTTAACAGTTACAAGAAGGACTGAAGGAGCTACAAAATCAGCTTCAGAAGGAAAGGAAATGAAGGTACACTGCATGGACATCAGCTGCCTGAATAAAGAATTCAACCTGTTTCTATAGCACCCATCATAAAGATGCTCCTGTATATTTTTAAACCTGAAATTCCCCCAATAAAATTCCTCCTCTTACACTTTCTGGTTGCCAAAACTTCCTTGCTTCTATTCTTCATCTGCTCTTGCTCTTGAAACACCATTTCTCATTCCATTTTATTCAAATCAGGCTCATTCTCACTTATCCTTAAGTTTACCTGACAGTACACGAGACAGGTACTGTCTCAGTTTTTTGTAACCAATGGTGCATGACTTCATAGTGGAGATAGCCCAGTGCAGACAGAATCTTTGGTGAATTTAGTTGTCTAACTTGAACAACTAAAGGGCAGGGGAAAAGCTGAAAGGTGCGGAGGAGCACATAGATAGGATAGAGATTTCTTAGGGGAGGATCTATTAATAGAAATGCTCTATGTTCTAGTCAGGAGGAGAGGTAGGAAGTATGGGTCGGATCAGATCAGACGAGACACAATCAAATAGCACATCAGGAGATGGCAGACAGATGGCAGTGACAAATTATTTAATGCTTATACACAAATGCTAGAAGTCTAAATAGTAAAATGGGTGAACTAGAGTGCCTAATTTTAAAGGAGGATATTGCTATAATAGGCATCATGGAAACTTGGTGGAATGAGGACAATCAATGGGACACAGTCATACCAGGGTACAAAATATAACAGAAGGACAGAACAAGTTGTCCTGGTGAGGGACTGGCATTGTACGTGAAAGAAAATGTAGAATCAAATGAAGTAAAAATCTGAAATGATCCAAAATGTTCCATAGAATCTCTGTGAATAGTAATTCTATGCTCCAATAATAAGAATATAGTATTAGGGATATATTATCGACAACCTGATAAGGACAGTGATAGTGACTATGGAATGCTAAGGGAAATTAGAGGCTATTAAAATAAAAAACTCAGTAATAGTGGGGGATTTTAACTATCCCCATATTGACATAGGTACATGTACCAATTTCTTGATACCTTAAATGACTGCTTTTTGGAGCAGCTGGTTCTGGAATCCAAAAGGAGATAGGACGAAATCAAGAATAGCCTAAGTGTAACACAGGATCTGGTTCAAGAGGAAAATATAACTGGACAGCTTGGAAATAGTGACAATAATGTAATAAAATTTAACATCCCTATGGCGAGAAAAACACCTCAGCAGCCCAACACGGTAGCATTTAATTTCAGAAAGGGGGAACTACACAAAAATGAGGAAGTTAAACAGAAATTAAAAGGTACAGTAACAAAAGTAAAATCTCTGCAAGCTACATGGAAACCTTTCAAAGACACTATTATAGAGGCCCAATATAAATGTATACCCCAAATTAAAAAACACAGTAAGAGAACCAAAGAAAGTGCTACTGTGGTTTAAAAACCAAATCAAAGAAGCAGTGACAGAGAAAAAGACATCTTTTAAAGAATGGAAGTCAAATCCTAGTGAGGAAAATAGAAAAGAGCATAATTTTTGTCAAATTAAGTATAAAAAAATAATAAGAAAAGGCAAAAAGGAGTTTGAAGAACAGCTAGCTAAAAACTCCAAAAGCAGTATCAAAATGTTTTTTAAGTACATCAGAAGCCGGAACTTGGCTTAGCACCCAGTGGGGCCCTTGAACGATCGAAATACTAAAGGAGCACTCAAAGATGATAAAGTCATTGCGGAGAAACTTAAATGAATTATTTGCTTCAGTCTTCAAGGCTGAGGATATTGGAGAGATTCCTAAACCTGAGCCATTCTTTTTAGGTGACAAATCTGAGGAATTGTCCCAGATTGAGGTGTCATTAAAGGAAGTTTTGGAATAAATTGATAAACTTAACCATAAGTCAAAGGGACCAGATGGCATTCACCCAAGAGTCTGAAACTACTGAAATGGGATATTGCAGAACTATAGTTGATAACCTATCCTTTAAATCAACTTCCATATCTAATAACTTGAAGATCGCTAACATGACACCAATATTTAAAAAGGGTGATCCTGGAAAGAGGTGATCCTGGAAATTACAGACTGGTAAGTCTAACGTCAGTACTGGGTAAATTAATTGAAACTATAGTAAAGAATAAAATTGTCAGACACATAAACATAATTTGTTGAGGAAAAAGTCAACATAGTTTCTGTCAAGGGAAATTATGCCATACCCATCTGCTAGAGTTCTTTGAGGGGGTCAACAAACATGTGGACAAGGTGGAGCCAGTGGATATAGTATACTTAAATTTCCAGAAAGCCTTTGACAAGGTCCCTCACCAAAGTCTCTTCAGTAAAATAAGTTATCATGGGATAAGAGGGAAGGTACTTTCATGAACTGATAACTGGTTAAAAGATAGGAAACAAAGGGTAAGAATAAATAGTAAGTTTTCTAAGTGTAGAGAAGTAACTAATGGGGTCCCCCGAGGGTCTGTCCTGGGACCAATCCTATTCAACTGATTTATAAATGATCTAGAGAAAGGGGTCAACAATTAGCAGATGATACCAAACTGCTCAAGATAGTTAAGACCAAAGCAGATTGTGAAGATCTTCAAAAAGATCTCACCAAACTGAGTGATTGGGCAAGAGAATGGCAAATGAAATTTTCATGTTGCTAACTGTAAAGTAATACACCGTGGAATAAATAATCCCAACTATACATACACAATATGATGGAGACTAATTTGGCTACAACCAGTGCTTTTTTTTTGTAAGAAAAAAAAGTGCCGGTACTGTGGGGAAAGCTTGTTGAGCAAAAAAACAAGTTGGGCTTGTTGGGCTGGGAAAATAGGTGATGGCACACCATTCTGGGCAGTACTGTCACAAGAAAAGCACTGGCTACAACAACTCAAGGGAGAGATCTTAGAGTTACTGTGGATAGTTCTCTGAAAACATCCACAGTGTGTGCAGCAGCAGTCAAAAAAGGAAATAGAATGTTAGGAATCATTTAAAAAGTGATAGGGAGTCCCTAGCCTCTGTCTAGAAATGGGTGCCTCTGGGGCATCTGGTATTGGCCACTGTCGGCAGACAGGATACTGGGCTAAATGAACCTTTGGTCTGACCCAGTATAGCTGTTTTTATGTTCTTAACAAGTCTCTTCTGAGCATGTAGGAATTGTGATGTTTTGAAGTATTATTAGATATGTCATGGATTCCCACACAGAGTTTTCTTTCTTTCTTTCTTTCTTTCTTTCTTTCTTTCTTTCTTTCTTTCTTTCTTTCTTTCTTTCTTTCTTTCTTTCTTTCTTTCTTTCTTCTGCAATTAGACTGGAGAGAATACTAGAAAGTGTAATATAGGGAATAACTTTACATTACTAGGGGGGATTCTAGGGGATCATATATGTCTTTCCTTCATTTTAGCCTATGAATATGAATATGTAATGAGTATTAATAGACTTTAACTGTTGCTAGGCAGTTCCTCCAAAACGAGATTTACCGGAATAAGCTCCTCCTCACTCTATAAACCAAAGTTCTGTGTGTCCTGTGAGATCAATGACTGATAAATAGTAAACCTTGCACAATACCACTGGCAAATGTGATCTCAGCTTTGGGCTTCACAAGAGTTTCTCTGCCAGTTAGTATGAGGTAAGTGATTAAAAAATAAAGTGTAATGTAAACACTGCCCAAATGTTGCTCCAGGCTTCTGGTTTGCTCAATAGATCAACCTGCATTCCATTTCTAGCACAGCGATAACCTTGGTGTTCTATTCATGGTTCCTGCCAGCCCACCTCCTTTTGGTGCTGCCTTTGAGGAGGGAAGAGCACTGGTACTCACTGGTCGTCTCACCTTCAGAGAGGGGGTGACCCAGCAAATGGCTGATCAAAACTTGTGGCATGCGCAAAACAAGGGGTGGGTCATAGAGTTGGGAAATGATGTGCAGGGAAACCTCTGTTTAAGGAGAGCACTGAGAAACAAACATGCAACATGTACTGTATTCACGATGGACTTTACATCTGTTATCTCTGGAATCTGATGTTGCAAGAGAAGAGGTGGGGAGTGCAACCGGAGGGAGTAGAAAGGAAAAGCAGTCTTCATTTGTGGCGGACAGGATCGAGAAAACAGCAGAACTCTCTGTCAGGCATTACCAGTGCTGGGTGTATTTTATCCAGAAGAAACATGACTTTGCTGAGATGTATCGTTGCTCAGATACTGTGGGCATTCTATGCTATGGGAGAAGGTAAGATGCAAAATAAATTAAAGGACCCTCAGTCCCATTTTACTAGAGTACAGATTCATGGAACATAATAAATAGGGATATTAGTGATAAATGGAGGAGAGTGAATGAGAACATTGAGATGAGAGATGGAAGGTTAGTTATGAAGCCTTACTTTTGTGTTGTTCTAGAGACTATTCACTGTATCTACTGCCTAATAAAACAAGGCTAAGTGAATACCTCAAAATAATTCAGAGAGAGTCCCAATGTAAAAGTATGTCCCTAGTTCTTCTTTGTATGTTATCACAGTAATCTTGGCCACTAGTACAGTTTACTAAGGCACTCAAATATGTTTTCTGTGTTTCTGAATTCAACAGAATTCATGTTTGTTTAGCAATTGTTTTCTTTTCATCCTACTCCTAGGCTACGTCTAGACTGGCCCCTTCTCCGGAAGAGGCATGCAAAGCAGGCAAGTCAGAATAGGGAAATCCGCGGGGGATTTAAATATCCCCCGCGGGATTTAAATAAACATGTCCGCCGCTTTTTTTCCGGCTTGGGGAAAAGCCGGAAAATGGCGTCTAGACTGGCGCGATCCTCCGGAATAAAGCCCTTTTCTGGAGGATCTCTTATTCCTACTTGCAAGAGAAGGGGCTAGTCCGGAGAAGGGGCCAGTCTAGACGTAGCCATAGTGTAATGTTATGCTGATTGTAGAAATTATGGTATGTAGGCCTGATATAAGGAATAGATACTTTAGAAATACCAATAAATGGTGCATTGAGCTCTGTAGAGAAGGGTACATTTCATTTTTGACACTAGATGTTCTGGGTATGTCTATACTACAGTGCTTTTTTTTAAAAACGGGTATTTTTCTGAAAAAGCTTTAATTACATCCGCACTGCAATTGTGTTCTTCTGAAACAAAATCAAAAGAACAGAGGGGGTTTTCTGACATTGGTAATCCTCATTCTATGAGGAAGAAGTGTTTTTCTGAAAGATTTCTTTTGGAAAAAGGCAGGTGTGGATGGGGAAGAGGGAGTACTTTCAAAAGAAGAGGAACGAGAAAAAGCACAGGTGCCCTGGTGGCCACTCCATTGATACTAATCACAACTTAAATGCAAGATAGGGTCCATTCAATGCAGATAGCTTTTTCGATGCACTTTGGCAGTGTGGATGCTCTCTTTTGGAAGAAGTTTTTCAGGAAGATCTCTTCTGGAAAAACTTCTGAAAGAAGCCTGCAATTTAAACATAGCCTATGAGTTCTTTTCCATGACATCATGCAATGAACTAGCCAGGAGGGGATGACTTTCTGGGAGACTGGGTTAATATTTTTGATACAATGAGGGAGCCATTTGAACCATAACTTTTAATTCAGCACAGGCCGTTTTTGCTCAAAGAATCCATGGTAACTAAATCGCTCTGTAGTTCAGTGCCTTTCCTTCTGGAAGATATACATTTCTTCACACATGCACATCTAGATAACTGGATTCCATGTACACTAAAATCTGCATAGAATATGGCATGAGGTGCCTGCACCCTATGCTGTGATCAGTTGTTTATAATTTCACTGTCTCAGCTAATTGTTTGTATGTTAGGAGACATTAATTCCTCAGTAAGAATCAAGAGTATGTAGAGCTTGAGTTTTTAGATCTGTACTGGGTTTGCTTTATTAAAATCTTAAATTTGTTAATGAGGTCACTTATTTTGTATTGAGTAATGAAAACAGTTGATCAGACTTTGGTCGAAGTTCCCCAAAGAAATTCACACTGAGTTTTACTTACATGAACAGATTGTGTTTGTGTTATGAAGGAAATATTAACATTGAGAAATAACAAATCGTGATATTAATTGGTATGTTAATTCAGTAAAAATATGAACAGCTACAATCATCTAAATGCTTGAATCAAAACATGGCAATCTCAGCCTTACGACCATTGAATTTTATTTGTAGCAGTTTCCTTTACATTCAAATGGTCAAACCAAAGGGCTAAGGTGAAGGCTCTGCTCTTGTAAGTAGAGCCCATACAAAAGCCTTAAATTAAGAGGAGCAACCGATGGGGTGACAAATATAAGTAGGGCAAGACAAAAATGCCTACAGCATCACCATTTACAGGTTTAGGTGAGTGATTCGTGCATGTTAGGGTTAGATGATCAAATAATGTATCTATCTGGGCTGAGATTGCCAAAATCCCCTAAGATTTTAGATGTGCAATACTCACTGAAATTAATAATTGTTGCATTAAAAAGCCTTCGCCTGAGCTTACTTGATTTTACACATGCATTTTCTAAAAATACACTAACTGTAAGGTCTAAAGTTTTAAACTGCAACTCATCATAATCTTTGTCAAACCTTGCAACTTGCTGTAATCTTTGTAAAACTTTGTAATCTTTGTAACTTTCAGAAACATACTGAAAGCTGCAATTTTGTAAACTTTGTAACTCTCAGCCACCTTGCTTGTAACTTGCTCTAAACTGCATTATCCCCTGAGTGAATGGAGAGAGAGTGTGAGTGTGTTTTTGAAGTTACAAAGCAAGATTGGAACACATGGTGATGAGTCATCACAGACTAATGCTTTGCTGGATAAAGGGAAGTGATGACAAAGTGAATGAGTCACAGGAGCCATTCAGACACAATATAAGGAGGGGGCCACATGTGAGACTCCTCTCTCTTTCTTCCCCTGCTCCTGAGAAACTCTGCTCTACAGCCACTGTCTCTCCTCCTGACAAGCTTCCTGAGCTATGATCAGCAGACAGACCCTCCAGAACCAACATGCCTTGGTTCCTTCTGCAACCCATATGCCTGTGTAAGTGTGTGAGTACCTGAGGGGAGGAATGAATGTGTGTGAATGAGTGCATGAATGCAGGTTTGTGTGCACTTGTTTGTTTGTGTGTGTATGTGTGTGTGTGTGAGAGAGAGAGAGCTCTGTATCTTCTTTAGTTTAAACCTTTGGTAGCAGCTCTATCCCCTTTCATTTAAACCTTTGGGGGCAGCTCTATTTTTGTAGTGCGTATAGTGGAGTGCTAATTCCTCAAACAATAAACCCATACTAGTGTAAACCTGGGTGGTCTCTAGTGGGATTTTTTTGGGGGTAACATAACAGTTCTCATTCATCTTTTAGGTGTCTTTGAATATTTCTGTCATAATCTGTTTGGTTAACATTTGACCAGACCTCAGCATTTTTCAGTCAATGGAGCTAGATTTCCCAGAATTTGAGTGTGTTGGTGAGGGATTGCTGAGGGATTGCTGAGGGATTTCTTTTCTAAAAGACTTAGCAAAATGGTAGTTGAGAACACTGGTGAATTGACCTCTAGATTCCAAGTACATGTGCAGGTTTGGACCTAATGCATCTAAAATCAAATATAGAAATAATTAAAAACAGGGCTCATAATAAATACTTAAGTTGACTAGTCTAGATTAGACAGAATTGTTTTCAATGCAGACTTTGCAGGGTTTTTTTAGATTTCAGTGGGAAGGGTTCTGATATTTGGACAATTTTCAGACTCCTACCCTGCAAACTGGAATATCTGATTTCAACAGTAGCCTTTGTCTACTTTTCTCTGTAGTACTCCCTCCCCTTTCCCAGAGCCCTAGGATATATTTTAGATTTGCATGCATTGACCAGTGTGGCTGTGACAAGATTTACAGGTTTTTACAGTTTATCATTTCACCAACATGGAATAGGTTTTTAAGTAGGAAAAGATGTCCTAAATTAATTCTTTTTTACCTCTTTCAGTGGAGGTTTATTTAGATAAATAAAGGGGGAAAGATAAAGGTATCATATTTTAGCTAAAATTAATCTTCTGGAAACATTTATTCAATCTAAAATTTACCTGAGCACTGCTGTGCAAGCCAACAAAATAGGCGGAGACACTTTTTCAGCTGCTTATATTCCCAAACTGCACCTCTAATGAATAATGTTGCGTGTTTGGTTTGTTTAGTGCCAGTATGTGAACAGCCACCTGATGTTGATTTTGGCAACGTTATTAGTGGTGAGAAACTGCAGTATGTGGAGAGTGACACAGTGCAGTATGGCTGCAACCCTGGATACACACTGGGAGGATCACAATGGATAAAGTGCAATGGGAGAAACTGGACACCACCTCCAACATGTCTGGGTAAAAAGAAATTTGAATTTTTATTGTATTTCCCAAAGCTGAGGTGAATTTATGTAGTGTCACTCAGAGGCCAGAGGAATTCTTTGTTTTTCCAGTATTGCAGGAATGTGGTTGGTGTGCCATTACCATTGGTATCACAGTGCATTCTGACACAGGTATCTGTCAAGGAAGAAACCAAGTTATGTATTTAATTTCTGTCACTGGATTTTATAGCATTGTCTTGCCAGTGGGTTCACTGTGTTATCACTTAGCATATACATTAACATTCTAATGACTGTTGTAGCCAGACGTGAACCCCCATTTTAACATCCATCTTTGTCTGCTTGAAACCATGCAGGAAAACAGCATATTCTTGGAGCAGGAGATTTAGATATGCTGGCTCAGTGACCATGACCAACTGTAAGCAGAGATAGGAGGGTGGTCAAACTAATTGTTGACCAAGAGGCTGTACATCGTGCCCTTGACTTAACCCATATTGATACGAACACACAACCGTCCACAGGGGGAGGAATCTCCCGCCCAACAAGAACATCCGGCACTCCTAATTTAGCTATCTTCCTCTCTTACAAGTGTAAATTAACTTGAAACTTGCTTGTAAGAACTGGCGCCACAAAACGGACCAGTAAAATTTGGCCTCTTAAGATAAGAAAGAGAATACGGGCCCCCAGGGGTATAAAGATGAGTCCAGCAGCACACTGACTTTGTGTGTCAATCTACCACCTATCTGCTGGTCGGGTTTGGTGTTTGACCTCCCGAGGTTCCAGAGGGGATGCCCACCTCGTATTCGTCTTTCCGAGGAATTGAGAGACCGGTCCTGGCCTGACACGCTGGAGTCGAGAGGCACAGAAGGGGGTAAAAATTGTACCTGGTGTGGTCCTTTGTTTAAGTATATATACATAGTGTTAGAGCTCTTTAAAGATTAAGCTGTCATTTGGTACCATTATTTCTATTTTCTATCTTTACCTTTTCCTGTAACCACTTTTTAAGATCTATATATATATTTTGCTAGCAATTAAGAAATAGAGCAATAGCCATTGTAACCATATGATTTATAAATTCCTTTAATAAACCTGTAACTGTTTAAGTTTTAACCTGACTCCTTCAGTTGCTGTAATAGAACCAAGCACAATTTAAAAGAACTTCAGCCGGTCATAAAGGGACAGACATAGGGAGAGCTTGGGCATTTGGATCTGTGTCAACTCCCAGGTGACAAGATCCGTTGGGGCACCTTTCCAGCTTTTCCCAGGCTGCCCGCTGCGGAAGGAACTTTGTGTTCTAGCAGCTAAAATCTAAGGTGTGATAAGCTCTTCCTACACACTGGGGCGTCTGTTAGCCTGTTTGGCTACCCTCTGCGCCGGGACCTCGGTCCTAGCAGTAAAGTCATGGACGTTAAACTCTCGGGGCTCCTTTCAGCCTTCTGGGCTGCCCGCTGCGACGAGACTTCATGTCTTAGCAGTCAAAGACTTAGGAGACATACCCCCACACACTGCCCTGACCGTCGGCTGACAACTGTGGAGTCATCTTCATTCCTTATTCCTGGAGCAGATTTCCTCCTTCAAATTCCTTCACACAATTCGCCTCTTGGGGCTTGATTTCCCTCGCTCCCAGTAATCTATGTTCAGACGTTCCCTCCTCCAGTTCTTAGGACAATTTATAAATAGTAATTTGAAATCTTTGGCAATTAAAAAAATTAGAAAGCCTAATAACTTAATGTAACAAGGCAAACCTTTAAACCACTGCTTTCCTCTCCCACATACACCTTCCAAGACATGTAAATCTTTATACTTGAGTTGTGTATATTTGACTGAGCCTTTACAACTAAAATTCTTGGTTATAAATTTAACTCATGTGGCACATTTTCACTAGTAAAATGAAACCCAAGAAAAGTGATCCATCAAGGAACTAATAAAAATGAGTCAACAGAAATGATCTCCTGATAAAAATGAAACAGAATTGGATTCAGTATATATTGAGGTGCTTATGGATAAACTCCCGATAAAAGTAACTGCTTAATAAAGGTGGTCATTTTAGAGCGGTCATTTGAATTTACCTTTGCATTTTCTTCTGTGACTTCTCCAGTAACTTCAGTTCCAAATGTTCAATCAGCAACAGCTACTTTGCAGACAACACGTCATCATCTCCCTTTTACCGTTGTTTGAAAAATGTTAGGTGTATCCAATGAAAGCAGGATTAGGTCCCATATCTAATGCAGACTCATGAAATTAATAATGAGATTTAGGTAATGGATTATTTTGGTATGTGACATAATTGCTTTCTGAGGCCACAGCATACAGGAGATTCTTATTATGGTGAAAGATTAAAAATAAAAAAGTTTTAATTTTATGTAATCTGATTTTGATTTTTGGGACTGATTAACTTAAAGGTTTGTGATGAGTAATATGTTGCTTTAATTTTTCCTGTTTTCATTTAGCACCATGCACTATCACAAAACAGCAGCTTGAGGAGAAAAAACTGCTTCTGCCTAGTGGCCGTAGACGTACAGTAATGATTCTAAATGATCAAGTTGTGGAATTTTCTTGCAGTGAAGGATATGTCCTCATGGTGCCCTCAAACAGGAAGTGTTCTGATGGGCACATGGATTTTCCATTGTGTATCTCTGGTAAGTATGGTAATTTGCAGACACTGTCTATAGATCACATGAAATGAAGGGAAGATAATGAAGAAAATCTCATCCAAAGTAACCTTAAGGGGAAGCAAGCAATGTTTGTGCATCGTGTTATTTTTGTTTTGTTTTGTTTTGTTTTTGATTAGAGGCAGGAAAGAAATGTGGACGCTCTCCTGTTGTTGCTAATGGAGATATAACTACTTTTGCCCAAAAAGAGTACACCTCAGGCTCTTTTGTGGAGTACACATGTCAAAAGCTTTATTCATTGAGAGGGCAAAATAAATCTTTCTGCGACAATGGAAACTGGACAGAAATACCAGTTTGTGAGGGTAAGATGATGTTTTCTAAAACAAAGCCTATGTTTTTTTCAATGTTTCTAACTGTAAGTATACCTGATAGTAGGTAAAGATGCTTCACTATTCAAATACAATTTTTGTTGTCGTATTGTTTTGTAACAGTATTTTGAACTCGGGAATGCAGAGATTTTATTGTTAGAAATCTAAATATTTCTCACGGGAGTTCAAAACCCATTGAATTTGTTTTTGATTTTGCATTTCCTTGAAATTCAGCATTTCATGAACATTCAATGTAATTTCAAAGTATAAAATTCAAACTAATAAAAGGAAATACACATAGTTAGATGGGACAACTGATTGACATTGGAAATGGTTGAGGCCAAGAAGTTATCAAGAGGGATTCAGTGTTTATATGGACTATATTAATATCATGATTAATGCAGATAAATATATTTGGAAACAATGATTAGCCTCATGTTTCAGAGTTAATAGTTTGTAATGACTAGACATCAAGTTGAAATCCAGTATAAAATGGTGGATGGCAGTTTATACCATTTCTGCCTGCCTCAGGGCTCTTGCACTTTCCTGTTGATTTGATCTAGACTGGCAAATCCAAGTTCCTGGTCAGATCAACTTTCTATTACTAATATCAAAACAAATTTGTGATTATTGGGAAAGCTAAGTAATGTCGTCTTCAGCATTTGTTCGTGACAATCTGGATAGTTTTCTCCCATCCGACACCAATAACACCACTTAAACCTCATTGGGGGTGAAATTAATTCCTGTGCACAAAGATGGGAACCACTTACATTATACTAGATGGGTCTTAAGTAAGATGGAAGTGGTGTATTGGATTCTACCCAGGGGCAAATTACCCTCTAGGGGTACGTCTACACTGTGGTGGTGGTGGGGGAGGGGATGGGTAAAAAAAGGTATGCAAATTGCATTTGCATTTGCATACCTTCTTCCATTTTTTTTAAAAAGAGGATTTTCTGATATTTGGCCCATCTACACAGGGCCAAATGTCGGGGGAAAAACCCTCTTTCGAAAGCCCCCTTATTCCTTGTAAAACGGAAAAATGGAAGAAGTTATGCAAATGCGAACACAATTTGGATACCTCCCCCCCCCCCCCCAGTGTAGCCGTACGCTAGGTAAGGAAAGGTACATGCACAGAGACAGGATTCTACTTAAGTTCTTATCCTGTACCATCACTCTGGAACCCTACTGGCAAGGATACAGTGTGACACTCTCAGGAACAGGAAGGCTTTATACAGGCCTCTTTGGCGAAGTCTGAAGTGTGGCTAATCTTAGATCAGTGGTTGCCAGCTCATTGATAGTGACTGACTGGTCAAGCCTGGAACCTCTCCCAGCCAATTGCAATCTCTGTCAGTAAGGCAGGCTTGCTGCTAAGCAGAGCACACATGGCCAGCAGCATGTGTTCAAGTTCTCCTTCCCTTTCCTCTCCCCACACCCTGCAATTTTATTTCCTTTTGCAGTTGTTCCTAGGAGAGACCCTCCTGCACAGGGAGGGAGCGCGGGCGTGAGCACTTCCTGAGTATGGAAGACGTGCTGCATTTTTTAAAAGAGACAATGTACTCTTTCTGAGATTTCCTCATTAGCCGGCTCACACAGTGTCTCCCTTTCTTTCTTTCTTATGGGCATAAACTCTGGCTCTCTGAGGCTGTGTCTAGACTGCAGCCTTCTTTCGAAAGAGGCTCTTTCGAAAGCATCTTTCGAAAGAGGAGCACTTCCTGAGTATGGAAGACGTGCTGCATTTTTTAAAAGAGACAATGTACTCTTTCTGAGATTTCCTCATTAGCCGGCTCACACAGTGTCTCCCTTTCTTTCTTTCTTATGGGCATAAACTCTGGCTCTCTGAGGCTGTGTCTAGACTGCAGCCTTCTTTCGAAAGAGGCTCTTTCGAAAGCATCTTTCGAAAGAGCCTCTTTCGAAAGATCGCGTCTAGACTGCAGGCGGATCTTTCGATAGAGGAAATCCGCTTTTTCGAAAGAGAGCACCCAGCGAGTCTGGATGCTCTCTTTCGAAGATGGCCTCTTTACATTGAAGAACGCCTTCCTTCGAAAGAGGAACTTTCGAAGGAAGGCGTTCTTCCTCGTGAAACGAGGTTTACCGCCATCGAAAGAAAAGCCGCGTTCTTTCGAAATAATTTCGAAAGAACGCGGCTTGAGTCTGGATGCAGGGGAAGTTCTTTCGAAAAAAGGGTACTTTTTTCGAAAGAACCCCTGAGTGTGGACACGGCCTGACTCTCTCTCTCTCTCCCTTCCTTCTCCCTGCCCCTGACTCCAGCGCTGCACAGCAGGGGACAAAACACAGCCTGGGTCAGGTCAGGACTCGGAGCCACGTATGTGTGTCTCCTCTGAGTGTTAGTGACATTGCACTCTTCCTAAGATTCCCCAACACACTCACTCACTCACACACACTCTCTATCTGGGTTATACATACTGCCTCTTTCACATACACCTCCCAATACATACTTGTGTTGTTGTTACTGCTTGGTACTTCCTGCATT